TTTATATATATATAAAGAAAAGAAGAGAAAAAGGAAAACAAAACGTGGGTTGCCTCCCACGAAGCGCTCGGTTTATAGTCGTGAGCTCGACTTTCCTATTCGTTCAACGATCAACCGGGCATAGCTCGACGAGCCCCTTCATTTTCATTTTCGAGCTCGTCACCGAATACATTAGCCCACCTACTCCTCGGGGATTTCGGGGGATTCCTCTTCAACTCCTCACCCCTCATAAACTTCATGCCATTTTTCGTGAATTTCCACACCCCGGAAATCACTTTATCATTCGAACTTGGTGGGCTATCTCTCGATTTTGCATCTCCATCCTTAGGCTTCTTTTTCGCCCCTTTCTTGCCCGAATTCAAATCATTCATCTTTCCTACAAAACCATTTTCATTAGATAATTTGAGATTAGAGTTGATATGTACCTCTTTGTCGGTATCCTCCATAAACGAGCATTGGCCAACTTTGGTTGGTGCTTCCCGGGCATTGTTCATCGTGAAAGTAGCAATCTCTCCATAAGCCGAGAGAGTGACTCGTCCCTCCTTGACGTCAATAATGGTGTTGGTCGTCGCCATGAAGGGTCGACCAAGCAAAATCGTGTGCTCCTTCCCGGTGTTCGGGACATCTCCAACGTCAAGGACTACGAAATCAACGCTAACCTTGACCAACACATCTTCGATTATACCCTTTGGCTCCCGCAAGGTACGGTCCGCCAATTGGAGGCTCATCCGAGTCGGCTTAAGCCCTTGCAAACCTAATTGCTTGTAGATCGAGTAGGGCATGAGGTTTATGCCGGCTCCCAAGTCTAGCATCCCGGTCGTAACCTTCCCATTCTCGAATGTAATCTTCATGACAAAGGCTCTCGGATCACATTCTTTCCGAGGTATGGTAGTCAAGGCTACCTCGGAAATCATCACCTTCCCATTGTCCACGAACCTCCGCTTTTTCGAAGCTAAGTCCTTGAAAAATTGAACATATGCCGGCACGTTTTTTATAACGTCTAGGAGTGGGAGGTTCACGTTTACCTTTGAGAGCATGTCAAAAAGATCTTGAAATTGACGCTCCTTCTTTGTATCCTTCAAGCGGCTCGGGAATGGAACCGGTGGTCGGTAAGGCTCATCCGCTTTGTGCAGAGCCTCACGGGCATCTTTCTTCCAACTCTCCTTCTCAATCTTCTCATCAATAACGGCTTTCCCTTTCGAATCCTCAATCTTATCACCCGGCTCATCATCATCATCATCAACAACCTCAACAACAACCTCATTTTCCACGGGTACCTCAACACGATTATCGACCTTCTTACCACTTCTCAACACCGTAATAGCATTCAAGTGCTCGGGTTGGCTCGGGAGCTTATCTTTCATTTTGCTCCTTTGGATATCCCCTATGGAACTCCCGAGTTGTCCCACTTGAGTCTCGAGGCATTTAAGAGAGGCTTGAATCGAGGGCACTCCTTTGACGGTGTCGTGTAACGTAGAGACGGTAGAGGCCAACGATTGAAGACACTTCTCCAGGCTCTCGATCCGGGTATCCGAGGATTCCCCATTAGCAATTCTCTCGGGCTCCGGTGGAGGTGGCAAGGGTTGCCTTGGAATGAAACCTCCACGCCCTTGTGGATATCCTTGAAACTCGGGCCTCGGTTGATATCCTTGGAATTCGGGCCTCGGTTGGAATGGTGGTCGGTTGTTCGGTTGAGCATATAGTTGAGGTTGGGAATAAGCTTGTTGTGGTGCCGGTTGGGGTGGGTAGGTTGCTTTCGGGTCCCTCCAAGAAAAGTTAGGGTGGTTTCGCCATCCGGA